TTTGCGATATGGATCACGATCCATCAATACTGCATGCTACTCCGTCATATATTTAATACTTCTATATTGGCAGTAACCTATCTGCGCAATGTGTTTGGATTCAGCAATCAAAGGGAGATAGATTTGAGACAAATGTACGTTTTGCGCATGCGCAAGTTTTCCATGTATTAGTATCTGTGAATATATGTGACAAATACATTCAAGCAAATTTGACGTATCATCAGTAGCGTTAGAAAATAAATTTGAAGGGGATCGTTTTACTGTGGGGTGGTTATGCCCCTTTGTTGACGATGTTTACTTATGCAAACTGAAACTTTATGATGAAGTATTAAGATTTTATTTTAAAGCTACTTGGAAATAAAAAAAGGATTTGAAATTTTTTTTAATGATTAGCAATTTATTATTTTAGAATGTATAATTCAAACATATGCATACTTCCATTCTCTCACTGAGTACAAATTTACTGACTATTTAGGTAAAAAGGAATAAATAAGTATAGTGACTCACACTTAAAATTGTGTAAATCTTTATATAATATTCCCATTGTTTTTCATTTAAAATTTTTTCGCTTATGTTTTTTTATAAAAGTGAGGTCATTATTTCAAACTTTGTGCAAAAATTAAAGAAATACCACAAAGTTTCATTTCTAGAAATGATCTGCATACCAAAATATTTTCTAGAAATTTTAATTAAAGAGTTTGCAATTCTAATGAAACTTTGTTTAGCTTTTTAGTTTTCGCACAAAGTTTGGAAATCGGATTTATATAGTTTGTTTAAATAATTAAAATTTACGAAAAATACCAAATGAAAAACCTTGGGAAGTAACTTATTAACAAATTTCTTAAATTAGTTCTTGGCTATGCCACTTATTGGTTGCGAAACAGTATTAATTTTGTGAATTTATTTCTAATGTAATCTTTCTGATCTGCTGATTTTTTGCTCTCAAAAAACAAACGAACATCAAGATAAAAGCTTATAACTATTTTAATTAATTTAGTGCGGTGATTGTTTAGTACTTCATTGCTAAATAAAGCTTCAATTGTTATGTGGTCGTCCATTATTTTATTTGAAAAGACTGTGCCTAAACTATGGAAAATTTTATTCATTAAAACTAATTTTGCAGTTCTAACCGGGCATTTGTTTAGTAATTGTCTCAAAATTTTTTCTGAAATTATACAAATGTTGCAGACATCTCTAGACGGTGCGATAAACGGTCCCATATTTTTGTGTTCTGAGAGGGAAGGCATTTCATTCCCTATAAGTTGGTCTTGACAAGTTGGACATATTATTTTATTTTGGACTTTCCATGCCACAATATCAGCGATATAACGAACAACATTGTCAACATAGATAGACAATCCCCACATTGTATCAATGAATATGTGTGCTTGTTCTAAATCTGATGTCTCGTTATTGCCGGCCTTACTGGTAGATGCAGATGACACTTCAAGAATGGATACGCCATCGAAAGTGCAGTTTCCATTTTCAATCGCACTTAATTCGTGCCTAACTAACAAACGTCTGTATGCACTCATAAACTGTACTGCGTTTGGATTATTGTTAAAACCTCCTCTTGCCCTAATTGCGCCAAAAAAAGTTTCTAAAAAATCTTGGGAAAGTTTATATGTTAAAAGGTATGTCATACCAAAACTCTTGAGTTTATCAAATAAAGGAAAAATATTCCGCAAAGCAATAATGATTCCTAGAAAGCCTGTTTTACGTCCAGATTGAATTAAAAGAACATCATTCGCAGCATACAATGAACACACGAATTTTTCGAACTCTTCTGCATAAGACTTTAAGTCAGAATATGACGCGTTGGTCAACGGCCTCTTAAATTCCTGCTTAGAGAACTGATTTTTACAGTTTAGTATATCGCCCATGTTATTGAAATTTAAACAAAACTTAGCGGTAGCAGAACTATCTCGAAATCGGTCGTTAATTGTTCGGTCTTTTATTTTACGTTCTAAAAATATTAAAGAGTCAGCAACACTTTTACTTAACGTTTGAACGGCGAGTTTTACGTTCATAATGCTGTTTTTATAGTATATATGCTTTTTGTTTAATTTTGTGGATAAACGCAGTCCCTCGCTTGTTTGTAGTGCATATAAGTCAGACAAATATTGCCAACGTATAATTTCATTCGAATTGGTTTTTAGTAATTGCATATCACCAAAACAATTTCTCACCAACTTTAGTCAATGAAAATGTAGCACAATTCTTTAGTTGCTGGATTAACAAAATATGGTTTAAATGATGGACCGTAGTTGAAGTTTACTCCTAAGCATTTACACATAGATAAATTTGTGGTTGCACCGTCAAATGTAATTGAGTAAACATTCGCACCAACGCTGTTTAACATATATAAAGATTCCTTCAGCAAATTAGCACGTTCTTCACCACGTAGTGACCGGATCAAAAAATAGCCGATTGGAACTTTCCAATGCTCGTTTAAGGAGACTGTCAATATTACAAGCGCGTTATTCGCCACAGCAGCCGAGTCACACTCTGTATGGCAGTCCATCGTACCTAAGTCTACACATCCTTCAAAGCCTTTCCGGTTGTATATTTTTTGCTATCTAATAGCCATCTCATCAAATACGAGATTTACTATTACTGGCTTTGGTCCTTTCGCGCGCAGAGCGATAGCATCCAGTGCTTGTTGTGTGAATCCCGGAGAGCCATTAATATTTTGATACCATTTGCGAAGCGTTGAAGGGTGTGGTAGCATATTCCTCCACGTTTCGCGAATATACCGATATGCTTTTGGCGAGTAGAAATGAAGCGTAAGAGCAAAACTTCTTATTTCCTTCGTGTACCATTTCGATCCTTTTAACTTTCGTGCCACCATCGCTTTTACATTTTCGGGAATTAAATCCTACAAGTACATATGTACATATATGTATTGAACAAGTGAAAATATTAGTTATACAGGGTGCCCTAGACCATCCGTCCACCCCTTCTGAAATGGAGGGGAATGCTCTATCTGTTCGTGGTATTACCGACTTCCGGTTTCGACCGGAAGTTCATTTTTTCAAATTAGACAGACATGATTTTACTACAGATTCGGATTCTAAGCTTAAAAATACGTAACTTTCGTTTGAATATTTTTTCTCGGAAGTGCCTTTTTCAACCTCTAAATGACTTTCGAACTTCACCTCGTCCCTGATTTAGGAGGTCAAATTTTTGCGGTTTTCAATCAAAACCATTCCCCTCCATTTCAGAGGCGGTGGACAGGTGGTCTAGGAAACCCTGTATATTTTATGTAACACTTAAAATAAGTTTACCATCATTTCTTCCGTTTCCGCATCTATTAAGTTTTTTTCTCGCAAATGTCCAAGCAATTCTCCCAGACAAGTAACTCGTTTTTTTAAATAATTTTTTTTTGTTACGAAGCGTTTTGATTATTTTAATTTTCTTATCGAAAGACCGTTTAACGAACGATATAATGCGGCTGGCACGTTTTGGGGTGGAAACGTCAGGAGTACGAATTTCTGAAACAAAACGAGGTTCAGCAAAGTGCCTTCTGTTTACAGGCGAGGTTTCTGTAATGTCCGAACTTTTACTTTCTCGCCCTTCTAAAAAAATTGTTGAAATGAATATGTATAGCTGTAGCAGAACAATTCTTTAAATTTACCAGTGGCCGGCACGTTTTGTATGCTTGCAATTGTAGCATGCATCGAAGGAATCGCATTTCTTTTCAAACATTTTCTGCCAACCTCATTGTTCTTTGTCTTGTAATCGTTTGGTTTGAAATGGTTGCTGCAGATTCGGACATTTTTAACAACTTCGTTGGGCATCAGGCCGCATGCCTGCATCCATTGTTTGCAAACAGTTACGTCTTTTGGAAATCTGTATAAAACAAAGCTGTTAAAGATGTTTTTGATAGAAACTTTTGCAACGCACCCATGTAAAGCTATATTATTTAATTTATCTCTTCTTTTTTCACATAAAAAGCAGCTGTGCGACATTTTTGCAGTTTAACGTATTGAAAAATTCTTAAAATTTAATGAAAACACAAAATTTTTTTTTTATTTTTTTTTAACGTTCCGCCTCTGCGATTTATTTTGAATTCAAGTGTCATTTCTTAAATGCGATTACTCGGTTTTCTTTTTCTTTTTTTATATATCTGTACTGTAATGTTTGCTGACTGCACTTGTAGATACTGCCAATATAGAAGTATTACATATATGTATGTATGTAAGTATACAAAAATATGCATTTTTTTTTTAAATTCTGGTTACTTGTCCATATGAATCAGACAAATATGTACGAGTATTCCCTTGAAACTATTTCTATAAAATTATGCAATTATAGCAGTTGTAGAAATTTTTATATTCATTTTTTATTTTTTAGCTTTTGCAAGGAGCAAGCATCACCGACTTTTCTGCACATTTCACCTTCTTGCCATGGTTGTTCTTATACCACCTTCTCGTCTTAACTGCTGGTGTATCTGGGTTTTTCCAGTGCTTGCTACATCCCAAGCAAGCTTCTACGTCAACTATATTTTCAGGTTGTAGCCAGTGATCGGTCTTAAAAAAATTTCTATGGTAGAATCTGGAAAAAAATGTGGTAGATTTAAAGAAAATGTGGTAGACCTCAGGTTTTTGATCAAACATTGTACAAAAATTAAAAAGAGTTCTGCAAGGTTTCACCTAAATTGCAAACATTTTGATAAGAATCTAAAAAAAAAAAAATTATTTTAGTATAATAAAGTGCAAGATTGAAGTTTCTAAAAATTGCGTTGCAATTTTTTTCCTTGACAGTGTAAAGCAGTTCCTTGCATATCAAGAAATTTTTCGAACATATTTTGAAAGATTTCTGCAACATTGCGGAGTGCTGCCAGCCTTTCTTTTTCTCACATCTCGATTTAGCGAGCAAATTTGGCACGTTCCAGAAACGGCTCTTTGGGATTTGACGATTTTGACAATTTTCAAGTAAAAGTAAACAACGCCTTAGAAACTTTAGATGCACTGAAATTTGCTAATACTTTCACAAAAATCGTCGTTTTTTAACATTTTCGCTATTAATTCATTTTATTTATTTATTTTTGCATATATTTTATAATTTCCTGTCGAAAAATTTATTATTGAGAAAATTTACTATTTTAAAGTTAATTTTATCCTCCCATTTGCTCTTAAAATTAAGAAAATTATGTCGAGCAAAAACAAAACAACTCAAAACCGCGAATGTGTGGTAGATTTAAGACCTTGTGTGGTAAATGTGGTAGATGCTCAAAAACTGGCAGATCTACCACAATGTGGTAGAAATCCGATCACTGGTTGTAGCGTATGTTCAGAAAGGGATGCCATTCTACATCTGATTTCCGCAAAACGCGGACAAACGAGAACTACATGCTCAGTGTATTCGCCTTCCTGCCACTCTGGGCATAGCGGGGAGTTATATATGGGGATATAACTGCGTTATATTAAAGTGTAATTCCCCATACCTTCCTTAAGGGAAGTTCCCCCAGCGAAGTTGGCATTTTTGCAATGTTGTCGTCATTCACTCAATGATCAGCTCTATTGCCGCTTTTGTTTTTTCCTCTAAATATGGCAACAGTTTAGCCACCACCGTGAGCGTTACTTCGTCGGCGAACGCAATGATTTCAACTCCAAAAGACAAAGAACGCCATCGTACATGATGTTCCATAATGTTGGCGCGAGCACTGATCCCTGAGGCACCCCGCTGTCTCATTATACTTTCTTTTCTTCACATAGGTGGAGTGTTCCAGGGTTCTACAACCGAGGAAGGGTTTTATAATATTACGTATATGACCCGGGACGGAAGGTCTTTGGAGAACATTTAAAATATGCCCAATTTAGAATCCAATGCCACGGCTGCACAGTATTGTTTCTGCCCATCACTCCAACGCTTTCCGGAGACCGCTTCGGCTGCTATCGATACTACTCTGTTTATTGGTACCGTTGACGAATTCCCCTAGGGAAAACCACATTGATTAGCTGATGGTCCCCTTTCGCCTTCGATGAAAGAGTGGAATCTGCTGTAGATTATGCGTTGCCTTGTTCGGAATGCTATCCGGGCCTGGGGATTTGCTGTCTCCAAGCTTCTTAGCTGTTATCACGCCTTCATCCGTTGGCACCTCAACTACCTCCCCAATGTTTACTGGTTTTCTTGTGAGAAGGGCCCAAACTATTTTACTCAGAAGAACTTGGTCCTTTCCTGAGGAATTTTGGATATTATTAACATTGCCGCCTTGTAATCGCCACCCCAGCTGCCGAGAGCTTCATCGCATAGCTTCTTGAATGAGGCTCGTTGTTCCTTCGAATCTACTTTCAGCTGTTTTCACAGATGTTTGCATAGTGCTTGCCTAATGTCGTCACCGGTAAGCCTCCGTAGTTTTTAGCATCGTCGTCTATCTTTTAAACATTTGGATTTTAGATCGCGTACTTATATTGTGGTTCCACCAATGTACTTGTTTTCAGCACGATTCGCCGCTTCTAGTTGAGATTTGTAGCTGCATCGAGGGCCCTGAGTTTAATGGCTGCTTCTGTTACAGACTTATTCTCTCTGGCCTGGTTAAGTGTCTCTGTCATGATCAAACTAAATAAATTTTTGTCAAGTGCCACTTGTTTTCAACCAAGGTGGTGATGACTACTCCCTTTGAGTTTCGCGCCGCTTGGCTTGGTGGTAACTGTGTGTGTAATGTTCGCAGACCTTACATTTAGTGCTCATAGTTAGTGGTTGCACGTGAACGTCGACGGTCGACGGTGGACTCTTTGCTGGTCCGGTGAAAAGTGCTGATTCCTCCATAATTAGCCAGCGCTAAGTCTAGCGCCTGGGCTTTGTCTTGGGGCTACCCCACGCCATCACTTCAATTACCATATACATACGCATTGGAATAGGCGCGTGCGTTCGTTTTTTAATTCGATAAGATTTTAAATGACTCATACATATGTATGTGCGTAGTAGAATAATTTAAATACATACCACTACCTAAAGGTGAAAAGGTGAAAAGTCCATTTTTCCAAAATTTGGTTTCTGATGCAGAATTACAGATATTGCGAAACTGATTTTTCGTCTCTCCTGAATAATTTCAAAAGATGAGCCTGGCACCTTTATACCATAAGTTAACGATATTTTATTTTTTATTTTTTCAATTAGCTTTTATATACATATACATATATGTATGTAGTATGTATGTAGAAGGAAGCATTTCTCAGCACTTCAAGAGAGACTCAAGACCTCTAACGTTTTTATACATATGTATGTATGTATCTATGTTTTTTTCACTACAAAATTTTTGTGGTATAGAATTTCTAGATATGATAAGTAAAGATGAACAATTGATAATGCGGCGAACATTGATTTCAATAAAAATGCTGATTGTCCATACATTAGAAATACATTTAAAATTAACTTTCGTTGCTGGCGTACACAAAGTTCTATAAAATTTATGCTATATCTAAGTTTTCATTCAGTGAAAAAATTAACGTCGGCCCGAAAGAAAAGAAGATAGAAATCGCGCAGAAAACGCAAAAATTAATTTCACAAAATAATTAATACAGTATTAAAAATTTAAAAAGCCGCGTATACATATCTAAAAATATAAAAAAAAAATAAAAAAAAAAACAAAGAATAACCATGAGTTATAAAGCCTTATTAATCATCATTTTAATATCTCAACTACTCTCATTCCATGCAACATTCGCTGAAACCTTCGAAGAATGTGATAATGCGGAAGAAGGAACATTCGTAAAGAGCACACAAAGCTGCCAAACTTACATATATTGCGACGGTGACAATTCCTACTCTGGCGATTGCGACGAAGGTCAATACTTCGATGGCGAATCGTGCGATGATGCAGAAAATGTATATTGTGCGCTGGATGTTCCAGAAGATCCAGAGCAGCCAGCGGTATCCGAAGATCCTGATGAGCCCGTACCACCAGCCACATCAACTCCGAAAACTACAACAACTACGAGGCTGCCACAAGCAACTACCATACTAACTACCACTATCACCACCACCACCAGTTCCGAGAGCATAAATACACTGGAACCGCACGCCATTCTACCAGTAGTGAGAGATCAATGTCCAGCGAGCGATGATCCTGAACAGCTTGTCCTTCTGACGAATGCCCAATCGTGCACAGACTATTTTCTTTGCTATCACGGGCACCCGATTGAAATGCGTTGTACCGATAATTTGCACTTCAATATATATACAGCTAAATGTGATTTCCCCGAAAATGTACAATGCATGGTAAGTCAGAATAGTGGACGCGCATGCTTATTAAACATAAATACGTACATAAGTATCTATTTGTTTGTGAATTAGTGGAGGTATGTAGGTTTGTACATACCTTGCAAACATTTTTACGACTAATCTCTAAAGAGACTATTCCGGGATTACTCTCAATCTGTCACAATAGGGCATTAATTAGTCGCAACTAGTCTCGTACGGGTATTATTAGAGATCAATTAGTCTCGACTTATCGCTTACGGCTATAATTGGAGATCAATTAATCCCCGGATCATCCCTAAAGGGTACAATTACCGATTTAATGATATGAACGCACTTAGTCAACCAAAATTCATGTCGCTTAGCAAACCTGGGCCCGAATCGCGGCATTCGTGATCGAATGATTACTCGTTTCGAATCGAATAAAATGACAGCTGTTTTCTCCCCAACACAATTTAAATCGACGAATCGCACTCGCTATCGAATGCCGTGATATCAACATCGAACTTAAATTCGAGTTGCGTTCGATATCGAATGCCACGATTCAGGCCCTGAGAACCACTGTTTGAATCGCACCTGACGCAACTTCTGGCGACTTTTTATACCCATTTGGGCTTTTTTGTTTTGATTGCTTCCGGAGTCATCTCGGATTTGCAGTGTAGCAACCAAGGTTACTCATACGCCATCGAGCGCAATACAAATTTAGCATCGCGCTTATCACACTGTCATGTATCTCGAAGCCGTGTCAAATTGCTTACAGTAATGTTAAATTGCAATTTCGTGAAATTAATTTTTGTATTCTAATGTGCGTTTGTAGTTGTAGGCACTTAAAATAATAACAGGTTCTTTGTCAGCTTCGCATTGCGCTAAATATATATGTATGTACCCCGCAGGAAATGTATCTAACTATAAGTTAACTTTAAGTTGATTAGGAAGGAGCTATAAGTCACTTATTATCTGTATATCTTCTTTGACGAAAGCTAACTATATTTCTATAGCGATGGCCGCGAAATAGTCAAGGGTGGTTACCTCTGCATTAGATGTAGTCAAGTGTGGTTACCTCTGTATTTGATGTAACTAACTACTTTTGGGCATAAAATGTCAATAGGAAAAACAAAATATTTTTTTATATTTTATTTTTATTTTTTTATTTACTTTATTTATTTTATTACATTTCATATTTGTTTCCATATTCTGCTGTAGGTGGTCCCATATTCGAACTCCGTCCTACATAACTTCAAAATGATAATATGAAATTTCGATCTTCCTCTTATTTGTTCTCAGTTCGAAAAAGTATTTGCGAAGTGCAGGATATTTAAATAGAAACGCGTTTAAAGAAAACAATCTCGAGCTTTACTCCAGTATTACTTGTCCACTTGTTTCAAGTTAGCTTTTTGAAGCTAACTACAAGTTATATATTTTATAGAAATGCAACAAAAAAACTGACTACAAGTAGGTTATTTTTTATTAATTGATATTTTTTTTCTGTAGGGTATCTACAAATGTTTTATCATTCATTTTGTGTATCATTCAAAACTTCAAAACAAAAGTGAGTGGACTTCGATGTTTTTGGCAAAAGAGTCAACATTTTTCTATCATAAAATATCTATACATATCGCACATAACCTAATGAAAGCGTTATATCCGTGAAGAAGCTCTTGCGGCAACAATGATCCGGTTCGAGGGGGATTCGTCATTGAATCTGTATAGTATAGTTGGTGGCAATTTCAAAACGGACGAGTATCATTGGTCCATATAAATCCAATTTACATAGACTTATTTCAGACGAAATAACATAAATGTTTTACAATTGTATTTGCAGGCATTCATCAAGAATTGTCTTTATTCTGTTTAGTCGCCGTAAAGCAAGGGCCGCAACGGTTATGGTGGTAGATTTAACGATGGTAATTTGACTTTGATCCCTGGTGTCTCCGAATGACTTCACTTGACGATTTTTAGCAATAACTCGACTCCAGCGCCACCTTGCGGCTCTTTTTTTGCAATAGTATTGCCTCTACCGTTACCAATATATATCTAGATTATGAGGCAAACCGGATTATAAATACGATTTTTAGTAATAACTCGACTCCAGAGTCACCTGGCAAGCATTTTTTTCGCGGAAATATTTCCCTTCACGTTACCAATACATATTTTGAATATTAGCCCGATCAGATCATAAATACGATTTTACTCGACTCCAGCGAACCTAAACTATACAGGGACCAGTAAAACATATAAACAAATTTCATTAAAATCATTTCGGTCGTTTAGTAGGAGTTCACTCACAAACACATGTACCGAAGAATTATGTATATATGTATTTACAGATAGGTAAAAGTTTCAGTATATTTGGTAATAGATCTGTCCCTGGTCCACTTACCGGAAAAAAGGATCGTATATGCTAATCTAGGCGCAAAGCTACCTCCGTGCCAATTCAAGCAAATCGGACCAAAAATACGGTTTTTTCGAATAGATCGGAAAAACGAAAATTTGTTTGGTCCTTGACATGATGGTTGCTGAAAGCTATTTATGTATAACATTTCATGAAAATCGGGCCTGCCGTACGCGAGACTATCTGTTACAAAAAAACGGACTTCTCTTTATAGAATTAGTATAGATAATAATTTGAGAGTTGCCAGCTGTTTGAAAATTCAAGTTTAAGTAAATTGATAAAATAAAGTAAATATTGCCATATGGCTGTCGAAAGAAAGAGGTTGAAGAAGGGTTACAGTCGAAAATATTTTTGAGCAAGGTTGCCACCTGTTTGAAAATTGTAATTTAATTAAATTGATAAATAAAATATTGCAATATGGGTATCAAACTAAAGAGGTTTAGGAAAGTTTACTGCAAAAAAATATTTTTTAAGAGAGATGTCTCCTGTTTGAAAATTTGTGTTCAATTAAATTGATAAAATAAATGAAATATTACAATACAGGTATCAAACTAAAGAGATTTTAGAAAGTTTACTATCGGAATTATTTTAGAAGCGGATTGCCACTTATTTGAATTTGAAAATAATTTAATTCAGTTAAATTGATAGGATAAGGTAAATATTGAATTAATACACCTTTGAAGAAAATGCGCGATATGTAGACTCGAGTTATAAGATTTTAAATCAAGTTTTCAGGAAAAAGTCGGTACTTTACCTACTTTCTAAATACCTTCGAAAATATATTAACCAGCACCCACATTCATAAAAAGTAAAGAATGCTTCATAAAAGGAAATTTTTTTTGAAAATCTTGCATCATAAAGCTCCTTATTTTGTTTGAATGAGGACATACAAGTTTGTGGAGGGAGTAACAACACATAATTACTTTTAAGGCGCAGTGAAACACGCCGGGCGTTTGCTAGTTAATCATAAAATCTGATTCATATAACTTTGAAAACAGCAGGCAAACGTTCACCGAAAAAAGTTACCCGAGCCAACTACTCGATGCCAGATATGAATGATATATTTTAGAGATGTGTGATTAATCAATAAATCGAACAAGTTGATTAATCGAAACCCGATTATTTAATTAATCTAAAAATAATAATTTTAGACTAATCAAAGCTATTAATTTCTCGATTAGTTACATTTTAGTTAATCAGAATCTAAATAATTTTATAAAACAGAAAACTGATTAATCATAATCTGAAACCTGTATAATTACTGCTATATTTATTTTTATATAGAAAAAAACGTATTCACATACATACGTACATACATACTTACATACATATACATAGATACAAATGGTCAAGATTTTTCTCTTTAACGTTACAGTTGCACGTGTACTTTTGATTATATTTCTGAAATGTTACTTGTTTCCTATCTTTTGTTGTTTTAAAGATAAATGTGGTTTAAGGTGGTCTTTAACGTTACATTTCTTGGAAGTAAGTTATATATAACGTCACTGTAAGGAAAACTTGCCGAATCCTGTAGAGTTAAAAATTAAACTAAAGTATTTTAATAAAGATCAAGTTCCAAAGCAACTATAAAAATATTAACTTTTGGATAATACTCGTTTATAACAAATCTATAAACCAGAATATGCAGTCTTTAACGTTACTTTCGATACTTTACGAAATTTTCCATTTTGATCGCATGCAAGGTACAAGATAAAATAATTAATACATTGGATGCCAATCGGTACTTGTTTCTAGATCCCTTAAGGTGTATATCAAAAAAATATCTCAAGAGTTGACGGGTGAGTCAAAGAAATATTTTTTTTCACTCGTTTCTCTTTCCCAAAATTTTAATGCTCACCTTAGATTAATGTCCCTGGTCGACAGAAGTGGCTTTTTTTCTTCACCATCGCTTTGTAAAGCATTCTTCGCACGGTTCACACGCTAGCATCTCCACTAACGCACCCCACAGCTTATTTAGCGGTAGATACTCTGTCTGACGCTCTTAACGCCTAAGTTTTGGCCCTTCTACCTCGGATATTTTCGGCTTATTTACACCGTTTTCTTTGCAATCTGCATGTTAGTAGTGCCTCTAATAATGCGACTAGCAATCGATTGGCTCTCATGCGATATTTTCGCTACTTCCCGGCTTGAAAGCCCCGTTATAGCTTTTTTCAGTAATATTTTTATTTTTATTTCCCAAAACGCATCTCATTGTATTTTAATAACAAAAAACCAGCTTACTTACTCATTTATAACAAAATCCGACACTTTAACGGCGGAAAACGGGTTGCAGCGTGGCAATATCTCTTATAAGTTATATGGGTGCAAAATTGAGTCAATGTGTTAATTTACAAAAATTGGATGGAGTACATATACGTTAGCGAAATTTCATATTTTTATGGTGGATCCTAGTGCTTTAAACTATACTCTAATATATGCAAAAAAAAAAATGCATTACAATTTTGCCAAAGAACCACCGAAAAACGCATAAATAGGGGAATTTGTTTATTATTGACTCAATTTTGCACCTAAGTGTACATACATACATATGCATGTATTAAGTATATGCATTGAAATTTGTTAAATTCAATTTCTTCGTATAATAAAGGAAAACAAATATTTAGTTCAATGTTATCATATGTACTAGTTTTTATTTAGAACAGGGATTTCGGATGTACATATTCCAAAATGGAGACAAGAGCCACAATAAAGATGAAATAACGCCCACCGGCAAAAGGCAATAAAGCCCGCGGGCTTAATTTCTTTTTCGAAAAGGCAATGACGCCCGCGGGCTTTGTTCTTTTTTTTAGGAATAAAAAAAAATTATTGGCTTTGAAAGCAAACTCGGAATATATGACCGAAGTTACTCAGATTTTAGTTCATATTAATCAGGATTAAGATTAATTAAAAGTTATTTAATCGATTAATCGCACATCCCTAATATACTTACTTACTTTATATTCTTCAACGAGAACTACAAAATTTATTACAGATTACTATAGTTACATATGTATGTGTATATAGTCATCATTAATGCAAAGGGCCATGTTTGACACTTTTTTCGGAAATGAGGTATTTTATATACACACATACATATTCCGTTAGTTGACTCTCGGATACATCGTTACACCAAAATTAAAAAATTAAATCTTAAAAAACGCGAGACTTATTAGTACGCTTAGAACAACACTGCAAAAGCAGAGATGTGCAAATTTAAAAAGTTGTTTCCCTTTCTTGTAGAATTTCAAATTTGCCATGTAGGGCGCTTTGCATTGATGGTGGCAATAAAGTACTAAGTATTTGACTGTAAAATTAATTTACACTACCATTTTATTTTCAACAATAATAATAATTCTCAATCCCTTCCATTCACACAGCTCGACCGACCAAATGCAAATAAATGCTTACCACATGTCACTGACTTTTTTCCGCATTCGCAGAATTGTAACTATTTCTATTACTGCATCAGGGGCTTTCTTACTCTGCAGCAGTGTCCATTTTACTATGGCTGGGACATTGAACGTCGCGCATGCGTACTAATTAAACAGGCGAAATGTTTTGAAGGATCCAAGCGAACGTACATAAATAAGTAAGGTACAAGCGTGAAGGGAACTATTATCAGAACTTTTTTCATACATGACATACTTTATACAAATATTTATGTAAATAAATGACGACCAAAGATATATATTGCGAAAAAGTTGCTCAAATTTGTAACGGGTGATTTTTTTGAGGTTAGGATTTTCATGCATTAGTATTTGACAGATCACGTGGGATTTCAGACATGGTGTCAAAGAGAAAGATGCTCAGTATGCTTTGAAATTTCATCATGAATAGACGAACGATCTGCCACAACGTCGAATTTTCAGTGAATGGGCCCTAGAAAAGTTGGCAGAAAATCCGCTTTTTTATCGACAAATTTTGTTCAGCGATGAGGCTCATTTCTGGTTGAATGGCTTCGTAAATAAGCAAAATTGCCGCATTTGGAGTGAAGAGCAACCAGAAGCCGTTCAAGAACTGCCCATGCATCCCGAAAAATGCACTGTTTGGTGTGGTTTGTACGCTGGTGGAATCATTGGACCGTATTTTTTCAAAGATGCTGTTGGACGCAACGTTACGGTGAATGGCGATCGCTATCGTTCGATGCTAACAAACTTTTTGTTGCCAAAAATGGAAGAACTGAACTTGGTTGACATGTGGTTTCAACAAGATGGCGCTACATGCCACACAGCTCGCGATTCTATGGCCATTTTGAGGGAAAACTTCGGAGAACAATTCATCTCAAGAAATGGACCGGTAAGTTGGCCACCAAGATCATGCGATTTGACGCCTTTAGACTATTTTTTGTGGGGCTACGTCAAGTCTAAAGTCTACAGAAATAAGCCAGCAACTATTCCAGCTTTGGAAGACAACATTTCCGAAGAAATTCGGGCTATTCCGGCCGAAATGCTCGAAAAAGTTGCCCAAAATTGGACTTTCCGAATGGACCACCTAAGACGCAGCCGCGGTCAACATTTAAATGAAATTATCTTCAAAAAGTAAATGTCATGGACCAATCTAACGTTTCAAATAAAGAACCGATGAGATTTTGCAAATTTTATGCGTTTTTTTTAAAAAAAAAGTTATCAAGCTCTTAAAAAATCACCCGTTAGAAACTTTTGCGATTCCAATCAAAAACCTATTAGTCTAAGATCCGACAAGGGCACGACCTAGCTATCGGGTTGGCAGGTATGAACAGGTAAGTAATATTAGTAATTTTCACTCATCTGTTTAACACATTCAATAGGCTTTATGCTTTCGATTGGTGTATATCGTCGATGTTTTTGTAAAACCGCCCATCGACCAGTTGCAAAACCGCCTAAAGCGCCATTGTGACCAAAATGAGATTTGGTAACCTTGAACTCGAGGCATGCAGATGTATGCATAAGAATCGTAAAATCGTTATTAAAACAACAAATTTGCAAAATAATAGCTAGAGAATATACCGCCTATCAAGGCAATGCCTTCAAAGAAATCTCGTTTTTTCGCTCTCCTGTAAAATTTGAGTGCCGTAAGATAGGCGGTTTTGCAAAAACATACAACGTAGATTTCATCCATTAAACAGATAGCTGAAGGTCGTGCCCTTGTCGGATCTCCTACTATATTTAGTTATTTGGCTGAAAAAATGATTCATGGAGAGCACCTTAATGGAGCTAAGCAAGCGAATAGTGATGTGATTTTTATATTCTCAGTGTGAAAGTTCCTGTATTTGGTAAAGCTGATGATAAACGCAATTAAATTTACTTTCGTCGAACATTACTCTGGCATTATATAGCATACCTATGTACATATGTACCTACATATCTGTGGCATTTTAGTAAAACAACTTATCTCGAGATAGGCCATTTTTCCTTTAAGGCAATGTTTTATTAGGTTCCCAAATAATATTTTTACGATAAGCTAACTATAGGTGTAGCTTAATAGAAGTTTAATAAATTTATACAATTTTTCCAGCGAAACTTATTGTCTTTTAGTTCCAAGTCAAACTTAAAGTCACTTGTATTATTGTCACCTGAGATGCAAAAATCCGTAACAAACCTTGTCACTGAAATAAAAAAAGTTCTGGGCAATATTGTTTTCCTTGCTTAAAACGATGTGGGGAGTTGTAATTCGATGAGATCCATCAAACCAATCAAAAAGTGAATTTTCAATTTTTTATTAGCTGCGACTTTTTGCATCTCAGGTGACGATATACATACATACATATCGTCGTTTAAAGTACAAAACTGCGTATCGTCGTTCTGCAAAACCGCGTAACTGAAATTTTTTGGCAAATATTGGATTTGCTCACGCAAGCTCTTGGCTTAGTCTTTATCCATTCGTCCTGAAATATACTAGCCAGAAATGCGATTGCTTTATAAACAAAGATAACCATTTTGAAATATGAGTGTTTTTACTCTCCAGAAAATAATTTATGCAACCTCCCATACGCGGGCGGTTTTGCATTTTGCTGATACGCGCTTTTGTACTTTAAACGGCGATATGTATGTTTGCTGATGTTTTTAACCGACTTCAAAAAATGGATGAGGTTATCAGTTCGTCGGAATATATTTTTTTTTATGTATGTTACCGCATAATTTTGGACCATGTTAACCGATGCCACGTCCATTTCTAGGGGTTTGTTGCCTTAAAGAAAAATCTTGACGTACAAATATTATATCTGGATAGGTATTCTATCGGAATTCCAATAAAATTTTACTTTTTGCAAAAACCCGATGTTTAACACCTTACTAAATATATCTCAACATAAGGTTTGGAAAACAAATTACAAAAAATTGTTGATTCTCACAAAATAAACCATCTCGTCATAAAGAAAAATATTTTAAAAATAGTTCTTCAAACACGACAATTTTTTTGAACCACGTTTTTTATAGAGACTTAAACAAAGATTACGATGGATGGTATCATTTTAAATCCCTAATTTACTGGTCTTCACTATGCAAATCAACTTCAAAAAGTTCAACTGTTAATAGCTAAGTTAGCTTTAGGACAATCTTGACCATCTTATATATAGAAATGTTAAGCCCGTTTCTTTAGCTTTAAAACGACGTTGAGATGAAGTCTCTACGATGAGCAGAACCTAGACTATGTTCAAACAGGCACCTAATTGGCAATTAAGAACCTTTTCACCAATTTAAGCCTTAATTGTTATCTAAATCTTAATTGTTACCCAATTTATCATACTCAAATTATTAATTGCTAATTAATAATAAATTGGAAATTAATTTGTGTCAGATTCTCTATGCAACCGTGCTAGGTATGTTTAATTTTGACTTGGAGGTATGTTTATTGAACAAAGAGCAATCAGCTATTTGTTTCTGATCCTCTTTTACAACTGATATTCCATCTGGGATAGAAAATTGAATTATAAAATTGTACCTAATTTACGGAAAACTTTACCTAAAAGTAGATAGATATACCTAAAAAGTAAATATGCATTTCTGTATAAAGAAAATAGGAGGATAACAATTCCCATCGATACCATATCAACTTCTGTACTCTCATTAAATAAACAAATTTTGACTGTGAAAAGAATCTCTTCCAGCAGCGCGAGACAAAACTATGTTGTAGAAAAGGAGAATCACTTTCCTCCCAGTTCTTCGATCCGACGTTCTAAAAAGAAACATTTTCCGTCTATCTGGCGAAATCAACTACAGTTGCGTTACTTTGACCACCCTTCTGTATCATTTGTATGTCCCTTCACAAAAGAGGGAAGCTATAAGACCAGTTGCCCGCACCAGAAATTGCATTGAAATGTCAATAAAAATAAGAACTGATTTCCTGAGAAGTTATTTGGCTACGTTCCAAATGCACCTACAATTGTGTGCTTGTACCGAATGTTCTTTCAAACTAAATATAGATACGATTGTACCAACTTTTCCATCACTGTTGGTAATCCAACAGCTGATTGCGTATCGCTAATTGCGCAGCTGACGTGTGTGTGAACACCAAACTCAATGCCGCAATTTAAATCTTAATTGTCTCAGCTAATTGGCCTGTTTGAACATAGCCTTATTCGGAATAACGAAAAAATGCAAACTTTGACAGAACATATCGTCACTAGAGACTAATAAAGGCGCGCTAGTGTTTCGACAGCGAAAAAAGACGCATAAAAAAAATTTTACGAAAAAAGGCGCTTAATAAATACTTCGGCGAAGAAAGGTGCGTAACCTAGTTGACGGCGAAGAAAGACGCGTAATCATAGATTTATACTTGGCCATGGACTGTCACTTCAGCATTATTCGGAAAAAACTCTTTACGGAATGTCCATACTATTACAACCGCAAACATAGTTGACCGCGAAAATAAGTTTACGCGTCCTTCTTCGCCGTCAAGAGTCTTTCTTCGCTGAAGTTTTTTTATGCGCCTTTTTTCGCGGTCTACTTTTGAGCTCGCGCCTTTATTCGTGTCTAGTGACGATATCCCCGAAGAAAAAAAATATAAAAATAAATTCCTCAAACACGTTTAGCTCATTTCGTGTATAGAACCCATAAAACAGATTTGAAGCGAATCGGAGATATGATATAATTTTTTTTTACGAAATCGGTCCGACTTAAAAAAGAATGGCTCACATGGGCAGAGAGTCCACTCTACTATTGTTGAAATGGCTCTAAGTCTGTCTAACCAGGGCGCGAACAATAATCGGCTTTTACCTTCAGGCACTAAACGGTTAAGTAGTGTAACAAGCAACATTGGAGGACCTTCAACAAGTACTGCTAAAAGTCTTATAAGCAACCTAGAAATAATTTTAGATTCCTTTAGCGAAAGCGAAGGCTCGGATTTAGAATCTGGAGACATTAAAAAATGTGAAATTAAAGCTGGATTGAAGGCCTATCTTAAAGAAAAACGAGCTCATCTCGGTGAAAATCCTCCCGATTGGTGGAACACTAAACTAAAATATTACAAATTGACAGATCTGGCCCGCAAATATTTGAGCGCTCCACCCGCCAGCGTTCCAAGTGAACAATTGTTTAGTGCAGTCGGCCTTATATACGAGCCTCTAATTGCCTCATGGGAGAAAAGGCAGCAAAATTACATTTTTTAAAATATAATATGCCCCTTTTAAACTTTGACCAGATTAAAACACTGTATAGGTTATGCACTCGTTCAATGTTCTAATAATTTACAAAACTTTTAAGTAATAATAACGATGACTTAAGTTGTTTATAGCTTTTTTAATGTTATTCCTAACATTCGCATTCGCATTCGCGAATGTGAAAAATATGACATTCGAAACATCCCTAGTACATACTGTTTTATCTATCTCTACTATTAAGTGTAACATTTTTCTATAAGTACACAATTGTGTGTAAATACTGCGGTGCAAATAAGCAACTGATTGTAAAATTCCGTGCAAAGTCAATAAGCTGAATGATAGCTCAATTAATTTTTTGTACATATTTTTATTTCAAGGAAAAGTGATACGGACATCAATTTTAATGAGTTTTTGAAATCTTAAGGCTGCCAAGAAGTGAGGTCGAGGAAAGTATATTTTGTCATCTCAAAAAACTGCTGGCGTTCGATTAATCATACTCGAAGATCAGTAGTACACATTTAGGGAAATCTAGTACATATATCATGTGTCATAATGTATTACAACATTTATGACACATTTGGTAGATATGTACATGTTTTTATACCTTTCATGAGCATTAAATGGTATTATAACTTTGGTCCGATGTTTGTAAGTACCAGAACAAAAAGAGATAGACCCATTAAAATGTATACTTATATGATCAGAACGTCGAGCTGAGTTGATTTAACCATGTCCGTCTGTCCGTCTGTCCGTCTGTCTGTCTGTTTGTATGCAATCTAGTCTCTCAGTTTTCGAGATATCCGTATCAAATTTGGTATGTGGGTGTATTTTTATAATGTATTAATCATTTGTCGGAACCGGAAGAATCGGACCACTATAACATATAGCTCCCATACAACTGATTGTTCAGATATGAGATTTTTCGTTATAACTTCTCCATTTATGCAGCTACGAACATGAAATTTTGCAGTACTTGCACCCATTATCAACAGAATACTTACAGTGAAAATTACAAAGATCGGGTCACTATAACCTATAGCCCCCATACAACTGATTGTTCAGATATAAAATTTTTCGTTATAACTCCTCCATTTATATCGCTAGGAACATGAAATTCCGCACTGTTTTCAATAATTATCAACAGAAAACTTACAGTGAAAATTAAAAAGATCGGGTAACTATAACCTATAGCTCCCATACAATTCATTGTTCAGATATAAAATTTTGCGTTATAACTCCTCCATTTATATAGCTAGGACCATTTCGCGCTGTTTTCACTCATTATCAACTGAAGACTTACAGCGAAAATAACAAAGATCGGGTCACTATAACCTGCAGCCCCCATACAACTGATTGTTCAGATATGAGGTCTTTTATCATAACTCCTCCATTTATGCAGCTAGGAACATGAAATTTCGCACCATTTTCACTCATCATTAACAGAATACTTACAGTGAAAATAACAAGGATCGGATGACTACAACATATATCTTCCATACATCTGATTGTTCAGATATGGGATTTTACTGTAAAACTTCTTTATTTGAACAGCTAAAACCGATAAATTTCGTAAGCTATTTTATAAATAATAATACAAAGTCTACTGAGAAAATCATCAAAATATATGCTGTATAAGCTTTATCTCCTATAGCACTGATTGTTCAGATACCAGTTTTTGCCATATATCTCCTTTATGTAGGAAACTAAACCCAATAAATTGTGTTACCGGTTTACATACCGATCACATAGCAGTGAAAATCACTTAGATTGGTGCCATATAAAGTATATCTTCCATACCTCTGATTGTTTAGATGCGATTTTTTATATAAGTATGTAACTCCTCTATCGATGTATGCAGATGTATTCAAAAGCAGTAATCTGTCAAAGTAAAATTTGCAGATGTTCATGAAAGGTATGAAGCCTTCGGCATAGCCGAAGACAGCGCTGCTCTTACTTGTTTTTAAATATCTTTGTACATAAATATGCAGAGGTGATAATGCAATATCAGCGGTTCTTACTTCGATGGAGTTCTTTGAAATCTTCATTTCATTCAATTCCAGCGCAGCATACGAGTATGTGTATGTATGCATGCATGTGCATCTGTATATATGTGCGTGCGTCTGTAAACCATACAATCGCTTATCAAATTTCAATAATTTGGCATACTTCAACGAAATTACTGGCACCCAAAAAAATTTAGTTGCTCCCAACCCACCAACGCAATTGTAGGTACAGCCCTGAACTAATTAGCTAGGAGATGCATATTAAATGGCTCTATGTGACTTGCGCGCTTTTGATATTTTCACTTATCATACCTGTGCATGGCGATATTCGCGAGGAATGCAATAATAAGCCCAGCAATGCCTTCATTGTCAGCAATACATCGTGCAGTCATTATATCTACTGTGCAGGCGTCGATTCCTATGAAGGCGAATGCCCAGATGGCGATTACTTCAATGAGTTGCTACAGACATGTGATCCCAGCGAGCTCGTCGATTGCAAACTCAACACCACAGCTAGTAATTCATCGGTTGGTACGCCAGCACCCGCACTGACGACGACCACTATTATCAGCTCCCCATCGCCTGCCACCATCAATGACTCCATAATAAGTTCAATCAATACAACCGCAGGCGAAATTTTTCTGTCAACCACACCAGCGATGGCCACTAGCTACCCGGGTAATGGGAATACGAGTACTATGAGTCCCGCAATAGGTGCGGTTGCAGCCACAACGCTCGCATCGATTACAAATGGCGATACGGCCATAATTATATCCAACGAATGTCCGGCCTTGGATAATCCCCGTCAGATGATTTTCGTGCCGCACTCAAAATCTTGCTCGGATTATTTTATTTGCTACCATGGGGAGAGATTGGCCATGCATTGCTCCTCGATGCTACACTTTAATGTGAATACTGGAAAATGTGATTATCCGGAAATCGTTGGGTGCCGGGTAAATACTAACTGACATACATATATAACTAATTCAGCTAAAAAGGCGAAATAAATAATTTAATTATTTTGTGTATTCTTCCAGACCGATTTCAGTAATCCGAGAGAACAATGCCAGTTGCACACCATCGATTTGTATCCGCATACAACGAATTGTAATTATTTTTATTATTGTCGTAACGGGTACCTTCTCTTGCAGCAATGCCCTTTTGGCTATGGCTGGGATATCGAAAAA